TCGCTTCGCTAATACAGCCCGACAGGCTTTTGATAGAGCTTGATTGAAATGCTCAGAGGAGCCCGGAGCCACTGCCGATTGTGGGTCTCCGGAGGACCCTCAGGGCTCTAATTCTGATTCGGATTCGAAAGGCTCAAAAGAGGAGGTCGTCTTTGCTAAGCATGACCCTCCTACACCGTTAAAAGAGGAACTTAGGGCTTGGGAAGATAAAAAGGGGAACCAAACACCACCCTGCCCGAGCTACTCCACCTTACGGGAGGAGCTTAAGCCCTTCCGCCCTTTGGCAAGTTCGCGACCCACGATCGCCCCTTTCAGGGCGCCAGGCCCCACTACACCGCCGTGGCCGGAAGAGGAGTTGCTCCCTGGGCTGCCACCACAACCTATGGCACCGCCCTGGTTAGAGGGAGAGCTACTTCCTGGGTTGCCTTCTGCGCCCCCATCTGGGGAGGGAGGAGGACGTTCCTTCCACCAGAGGGTATGGTCGCGGCTTCCTTTTGAGTGTTCCGGTCTCCATGCATTCCCGGTACAAGTAGGAGGCAGGGGAGGAGGAGGATATTATGAGCCCTTAGAAATTAAACAACTTAAAACTATCAAGGACGCAGTTTCAGCTTATGGGCCCAATGCGCCATTTACCATGGCGCTTTTAGAGGCATTGGCAGGTCTGCTTTTAACTCCTGGAGATTGGACCCAGCTGGCACGCGCCTGCCTCTCCCCCGGACAATATTTAGATTGGAAGTCCTGGAATGAGGAATTCTGTGTAGAGCAGGCGGCAGCCAACAGGGAAAATAACCAGAGAGAGTGGAACAGGGATATGCTATTAGGGCGAGGAGCCTTTGAGGAAGATCAAACTCAATACCCTCGCCAGGTTTATGAACAAATTAGCCGCTGTGGCCTCCAGGCCTGGAGACGGCTGGCTGGAAAGGGAGAACATACGGGTCACCTTACAAAAATTATACAAGGGCAGGGAGAGCCATTTTCAGACTTTGTGGCCCGCATGCTTGAGGCCGCTAACAGGATTTTTCCAGATGCTGAGGCGGCTCACCCTCTCATAAAACAATTGATTTTTGAACAGTGCACTAAGGAGTGCCGTGATGTCCTAAGAACTAACAAAAATAGGTCCTTAAAAGAGTGGACACGCCTGTGCCGTGAATTGGGTGGCCACGGCCTAACGCCCAAAAGAAGAATATCATTGGCACTCTTTACCATAAATTTTTTAAACCTTAATCATAATAATCATTCCCCTGCCATGAAGCACAATAACCCGTCCCCGGCTGACAAAGGGCTGGTGAGATGGAAAGATGTCCTTACAGGACAATGGATGGGCCCGGATCCAGTGATTAGCTGGACCCGAGGTGCGGTTTGTGTCTTCCCACAGGAACCAGGCTGCGAGCCGCTGTGGGTCCCGAAAAGATTGACGCGAGCAGTAAACTCCCCACCAGTTCCTGATAAAGCACAGGAGGATAAGCCCGCGGACACAAGTCAACTCGACCCTTCTGGGACCGACGCTCAGCGCCCGAGACCATCTACAAACTAAAATGTCTGGTTTGGAGTTTTTTCTATTCTGTGGGTTCCTATTAATCACCCCTGTGATATGCTCAGATTCCACACAACCACCACAATATCTTTGGGGTCCTTGGCACCACCCGCCTACATTGGCACCTTTTTCGGCGGCCTCGCCCGCCTCACCCAGGGTTTACACCATCAATCAAACAGTCCTTGATTATGCTAATTGCCATGGCTATCCTAGTAGGGCTTGTGGTTATTAAATGCTTGTTAGATCGCCTCATACAAACTCAGCAGCAGGTTAAGATCACAGCTATGGCAGCCATACAAATGGCAGCAGGTGGCCCATCAGGCCAGCAGGCCGCCGCATATCTCCTTCACATTACAGAACATCAGCTATAAGAGCTGAGTGGGCAAGCCAATGACGGGTAAGATGAAAAAAGCCCTCCCGGTCAACCTAAGACAGGCTCCACTCAGATATACATGGCCTATAAGGCCAGGGGTCCCTCCCGGAGTCAAATTATTGGCATTGAGATGCGAGACCAAGGGTACTGCAGTGCCATCCGCCCCAAAGGTTGGGGGGAAGGCAGGAATAAATGTCTATATGCATCCAGGTTCGGTTCACAAAAGCCTGGCCCTGCAAAAAAATAAACCACTCACCTTGAGCATGGTCCTGGCGCAAGGATATACACAAAACAGGGTGATACACAGCAGGGTATAGACCTCTACATTCTCTCATGCCTCGGCCTACAAGGTAGGCCCACTCCTAGGTGTCTAACAGCAACAAGGTCATAGACACCTTGGAGGGACCCACAGACCATCCTATTTTAATAAATAAAAAAGGGGGAGATGTGGAAAGCCGCCTGAGATGGCGCCCATTTCCTGCTTCCGGGTTCTTCCCGGCCTGAACAAGCCCGCCAAATTGTCATATCTGCCCAGTTACCCGTGACGCTAGCCTATCAGCTTGTTAGGCGCGCTTCTCTGTGATTAGATACTGCTTCCCCTTATAAGAGGTTGTTCCTGCCCCCAACGGCAAAAGAAAAATCAACACCGAGGGTGGCGGACCTTGTCAGGTCCGGTTCGCTATACATAATAAAGTTTGAGAGCTAATCCTACTCGAGTTTGGTCTCCTGTCTCCCGCGGCTCCGGTCAGATTAACACAATAGCATAAAACTTTGAGGTCATCCAAACATTCTGTTTTTGTTCCGTTACTCAGAATATTTCTCCATACTGCCCTTTTTCCTTGTTGTCTCTCTAGCATCTGACTACACTGGGGTCATTGTGTGGGCTCTTCCAGGCCATTATTGAGGATGCATGTCTACCTCAGGTTACTTGATAACATCTTCTAACTTTATTCTCCACCCACACTTACCTCTTACCCCCAGCTCTTTTCTAGTTTCCTAGACAACGTTCTGCTGTTTTAATAATAAACCAGTGCTGTCCAATTTAACATAAGCAAAGACCAATAAAAATCCTTCAATTTCTCTTTGCTCCTAGATAACATCTGCAATTTAATGCTGACTCTTTGAGGAAAATTCCTTGTGCCTCCTTACTTGTCTGATCAAAAGCTTGGAATTTCCTGTAGAATGGGGGATGTACATTTTGAGGGAATTATTTTTTGGAAAGAGATTTTTTGCAGTATCCTTCAAACCAAATTATGTGAGCAGCTGTCTGCTAATGAGTTCAGCAGAATCTCTTGTTTTCAGAAGTGTGACTTGTATGTTCAGACCTCACCATTATGACTGCAAAGTAAATTCATATTGGTCCAAGTTCCACCTTATTTGAGCTTATAGTCACTCATAAGAAACTTCTTGCTCCTCAGATGAGCCTTTTTAACATCTTTCTGTAGGCCAGTAAGGAAAATATCCCTCATGGTCTTTAATTCTGGTCTCTGTAAAATTTCTGTTCATTTCTCCAGAGATTCCTAAGAGACAATGGCTTCACCAGTAAAACAATCCCACCGAACCACAGATGCATTTGAAGTAATATAATTCACTAATCACAGAGAATACATTTCTGGCTATGCAACATACTGAAAAGATAAATGTCATAGGAGATAGCCAGTGAATTTGGCCACCTTAGCAATTGCAGTTTAGTCAATCACAGACTATTAAAACTGACTACTACTAAGCCTACGGAGGCAGAGCCTTGATTTTCCTACTGTTAGGAGAGTAATATTACTCCACACCACAAACTCTGAAGCTGCAGCTCTAAGTAGTATATTCTTCCTTAGTATACTCTTCCTTGGGACCCTGATTGCAGATAACTGAAACAAACAGAGGCAAGCTTTGAAAACAGGAACTTAGTATAAAGGATTAGTGTCTCAAGATTCAAGAGAAAGAAGACTGTGGATAGTGAAAATGGGGATCTCCAGCAAAATCGTCTTCCTGCGTCTCAGCCTCCCATGTTGTGTTGTGTTGTTGCTCTTTCTTTCCCAACCACTTTGCTCTGCACTCTCGGCTTCAAGGGAGGAAGTGGCTATCATGTGTTATGGTCATCTCCACAAAGAGACAGGAAGCTCTTCTTGAATGGGGTATGTTAGTCCTTCAAACTGTGTCTCAAAATTACTGCCCGAGACCCAACCTCAGTGAAGAGGGAGGAAAGTAAGGGGTCACTGTGGTCTGGGAAGGGACTACAAAAGTTACACACTGCACCTATCATTTCTCTATCAGTTTTCCCCTAAGGCATATTTGGAACAGGAAATACTGTATTAGAGATGTTGGACATCTGGTCATATGTTCATGATAAACTTGTGATAAAGCAAATGCAGAACAATAATAGGGTATACTAACAAACACTGCAATTCACACAAGAGAATGCGTTGTAGTATATTCTCACAACCCTAACTGTTCATTTATTTGTCGTCTTGTGTTGCTAAGCAGGAGATTGCTTAGAAATAAAAGTTGGCTAGATTAACTTAAAATAATATCATTCCATTTTGGCTCATAAAGTGCTTTTTTATTTTGTTTTTCGCTCTAAAATTACTGATAGGATTAAATCTCCTGTCTTACATTTCCTCAGTGCAATCAGATTTCATTTCAAAATCTCTGAAAAGAAGTGAAAATAATCTTACAGAAAGTAACTCAAGTGATGCATTCAGCTCTCCAAGGCAGAGCAAAGGATGTAAATGAAGCCGTGCTGGGCTTCTCACTTTTCCTCTGTGCCTCTTTCCTAAACTGTGCCTTCTAATCCTCTTGCTGTACTCTTCAAAGCCTTTCTGACCTTCCACTGTTACATAAGAAAACATAGTACATTCTCCCTATATGTTTATTTATTGAAATATTGTATACATTGTAGAATGAAAAAATTATGTCTTTAAAGTATAATCCAAAGTAAATGTTAAGTAGATATTCAAATATTATCACAGGATGCTTAGCTCATCTAGGTCAAATTTTCCTTACTGTTAGAATTTTATTGTCCTAAAGATTAGTTAGGAACTTTAAGATGCTCTTAGCTAACTGTATCTTAAAATGAATTCTCCAGTGTTAAAAGTGAAATTGTAGAGCTGGGGAAGTGGCTCAGCAGCGTGGCACCTGTCTGGCAAGAATGAGGCCCTGAGTTCAATTCCTGATTCCAGAAAAGAAAATAGTTAAAGGGGAAAAAAAAGACCCCCAAAAATCTCTTTATTGTGGCCGAGGATTTAGCTCAGTGGCATAGCACATGTCTGGAAAGTACAAGGTAGTGAGTTCAATCCCCAGTACCAAAAAATAAAATAAAATAATATTGTATAAGTGCCTAAAAATTTATCTGTAATGCTAGAAACCACTGAATAATTATAAAAGTGACCAACATCAACCTGAGAAAGTGAATCTTCTTTTTTAATCTATTTTTTAGTACATGTTTATAGTACATAGTGATTACATTACTCATGGAGAGTTGGTCACATATATAACACATCTTAATTCTTTTTCCCTTCTCCCTACTCTTCCCACTTCCTCTGTCTCTTGGTCATCCCTTTTGAAGGAGATCTGTCTCCTTATTTCCTGTTATCTATCTTTCATCTTGTTCTTTATTTATGTTTTGGGTTCTCATATAAAAGAATCCATGCAATATTTAAGCTTGTGTGTCAGATTTATTTCATTTAACATTATGATCACAAAACGCATCGATTTTCCTACAGATAACTCAAGTTTCTCAAGTTTAACACTCCATTGTGTTTAAGTGCCACATGTTTTGTATCCAATCATCTGTCGATGGACATACAGGCTGCTTCCAGGATTTAGCTATTATGAATTGTATGACTATAAACATAAGTATAAATGTATCACTGTAATATGTCTTTAGCTATTTCAGAAAGATATATAGAATATTCAAGTCAAGTGGAAATTTTATATTTACATTTTTAGGAATCTCCTTACTGATGTCCATAATGGTTATACTAATTTACATTCCAACCAACAAGGTAGAAGCGTCTTTTTTTCTCCGCAGCTTCTCTAGAGTTTGTTATAATCTGATGGGTGAGAGCTATTCTTTCTGGAGTAAGACAGAATTTCAGTATTGTGTTAATGTATATTTCCCTAAAGGATAAAAATGCTGAACACTTTTTTATGTATGTGTTAGCCATTTATACTTGTTCTTCTGAGAAGTGTCTGTTCATTTCAGTTGCCCATTTTTGAAAGAAAAAGAAAAAAAGACAAAAGAGGAGGGAGAAAAAGAGGGAAGAGGAAAGAAAAAAAACTTTGGAAAAGCTGAACTTGCTGGACTGGCCGAGCTCCTGACAATAGGCCGCACTCCCTGAAGCAGGCAGCATGCAAGCTACGAATGAATGACGGAGACTAATGAAACTCTGTAATAGGAAGGGAAGCCAATCTGGATAGTGATCTTATGCAGTGACCAAATTCTCTTCATTTTTCTGTACACTCAATCCCCTTTCTTCCCTCAGGATTCCAGGCCTGAGATAATCTTGACCCTCGTAGGATTTGGGAAATTATGAGAGACAGTAGTGTTGAGCCAGCAATCTCATCCTATAATATTGCCCTCTCACAAAGTGTGACCAAAATTAAAACACAAACTGAAACAGTATTTATTCAAAGAATATCAGACAAAGGATTCATACCACAGATCTATAACTCCGTATAAATTCCTGGGACCAGTAAGATCTTTCACTAATAAATCAGCAAGGGCTAGTTACAAAAAAAGAAATGGTTGACTGGCAAGTTAGTGATAAAATGTTCAATATTTTTTAAAAAATATCATGAATTAGCACAATCTATCAATTTCTTCTATCAAATTAGCAAAGATTTAAAATTGTTAAGTAGTACTGCCAGAATATGGTAAAACAGGCACTTGAATTCATCAAAGGTAAAAGTGTGTGTGGTATCTGTGTATTTACCTGATCCTTTGAAAACCCATTTCTGCAATAACATAGGATGTGTATTTTCTACTAAATTCTTTTCCATTAACTTGGGGAAACAAAAACCAAAGATTTAGAGACCAACATGTTTTGTCTTATCATATAAAGCACTAAAAATTCTAAAGCTAGATTATTTGTCAGTATAAAATAAATAAATTATAATATATGTATCTACATAGTACATTACTGTTCACCTTTTACATTTATACTTGTTAGAGTTTTGTTATGGTTTAGACCTAAAATGTCCCCTGGAGGCCTCATGCATTTGGGAGCTCATTGGACCCTGTACTCACTGGCTCTGTACTCATCAGTGGATTAACCCACTGATAAGTTCATAGCTGACTTGCTGTTAAGAGATAGGACCTGGTGAGAGGTAGGTCACTGGGGGCCATGACCCAGAAGCACTTATCTCCCCCTCAGGTTCCTGCCACTCTGCTTTCTGGCCACCATGGGTTGAGCACGCTTATCTCTGCCATGCCCCTCTGCCAGCTGATCATTCACTAAAGCTGAGCCAAAATAAATCTCTCTGTCTTTAAATTCATGGTGTTTTCTGTTTTGTCCAAGTGAAAAAAATAATGACTAAGATAGTTTGGTGATACGATGAATATTGCACTAAAATCACCAAAAATGAATGGAAGGTATATACTTACCCTACAGTGACACCTACCAAGAAAAACTGAAAAATTAAAAAGGTAAGAAAAGAAAGGTAGAAAACTTCTGTGTTATGTTCTATGCTTGCTGGGTCTGTAAATGATTTTAGGTTCTACTTTCTATAGCTTAGTTTTTCTTTTCATATGTATTTTCAAATTTGTATCCACATCTAAATATTTATTGGGGACCTATAATGACTGAGACACTTTCCTACATCTTTGAATAAAGTAATTATAAAAACAAAATTTCTATTCTCAATAAGGTTGCTATATTTATTAAATAAAAATATGCCATGTTAGGTTGTTCATTTAAGTTTTAATTTCAAACAATAATTTCACTGTAAGTATATTAGCACTAACTCAGGGAGTTTGGTGGGGATAAATCTCCTAAAGTGAATATTAATTAATTTTTAAGATTATATTCTTACTGTGATAAAATGCTCAGATGATTTACCATTTAAAGCGTACAACTCAGTGGCATTTAGTTTCCGCAGTGTTGTGTAGCATCAGCACTATTAGTTCAGACTTTTATCACCCGGGTGGGAAAGTCCCATGTGTATTAACAATTCAGACCCCACTCCCTATTTCCCCCAGTCCCTAGTAGCCACTAATCTATTTTGTCTCTCTAGATTTGTGTATGCTGGATGGCTCATGTAAGTGGAGTCATACAAGCTTTGGCTTTTGTTCTTTGACTTCTTTTATTTAGAATAATGCTTTTAATGTTTATTCATATGATAGCATGTATCAGAATATCATTTCCTTTCATGACTGAATAATACTGTGTTGTGTATATACATTTTCTTCATCCCCTTACATGTTGTTTCACCTTTCTGCCATTATGAAATAAGTATTAGTTTTCTATTTTAAAAAATAAATGTTTTTTCTCCAAAGAATGATGAAAATATTTTTCAAAGCTTTACCTATTTCAGTGTTAATATGTTTAAATAATGCTGAGTGGTGGACCAGGCAATATTCAGTCAACACCACATATGCATTAAATAAAATGTTTGGTTTTCTGGCCGAATTTTTTTTTAAAAAGCATAAAATGTAAATCTTAACCATTAAGAAGTTTATATCAAATTCTAAAAAATGAAAGTCTGAAGTCCAGCATTTAATCACAAGTAAGACTTGTGCCTCTCAGCCAGAAACAACTGAGTTTATATTACCAAGTCAGGGCCTCCACTGGGACAGTGAGTAGGGCACATCACATCTGGGTGATTAAAACACTTACCAAAAGAAGTGCCTCCTAGGAAAAAAAGAAGCAGAAGAAGGAGAAGAGGGAAAGGGAGGAGGAGGAGGAGAAAGAAGAGGAAGAAGTAAGACCTTAGCTAAAGATAAATCATATGTTCCAATTCATGAAGCTACCAAAAGTTCAGAAACATGGAAGTCCCTTCAACACCTTCTCATGGCACATGTCAGGGCCCCTGAGGTTTTCTAATTTACATTAGCAAATTCTTCTTTCCAACAGCTGGGAGAAGCTGGATTAGAAAACCTTTTGCTGGCTCTCTATGAAGCAGAAGACATAGAAGCAGACATGGGAAAACCGTGGCATTTCTTTCTCTGTCGTCAGAACCCCAAGAAGCAATGTCTGGCTCAAAACCAAAGGAGGCAGAAAGAGATGAGGTCAAGTAACAGCAGTGAAAGGCCAGAAATGCCCGGCTTCTCAAGAGTCTTCTGTGATCAAGTGGTTCATTCTGCGTCTCAGCTCAGGGACCTCTCCTTCCTTCCCCCCTCCTCAGGTTTGTCTGCATCCTGCCACCCACTGACTACAGCTTTATGAGTTCTTCCTTTAAGGCTCACGGCAAATCTGACCTTCCTCATAGAGGCTTTAATTCTCCTATGCAATAAAAATAGATGTGATTTCTTCTTCCTTTGACATTTCTTATCTTAGCATATATATTATGATTGCTGAATACTTTAGCTATTGGTGTTCTATCTTGGACATATTTCACTGATTCTCTACATTGTCTGTGTAAATGGAGAATCTTTTTCCATTCATAAAGGAATTTGCCTTTTAATATAAAAAGGAAGAATCCAGCTCACTTTCAAAAAAAATTTTAAATAGTAACGTCATGGTAGTGATGGTACTTAAAAATCATGCTGCTAATTTTTTACGTGGCATCAACTGCAGTGTAGTTGTCAACATGTTACATTATTAATTCATCCATTCCTTAAGTAAATATGTGTTGAATATATTGTCCCCCCAGCACCATAAGTACTGATAGGATTTTTGGTGCAGTTAGAAGACAGAATATAAAGTAAAGTGGCCTTTATTTTAAGGATGTGGAGAGAAACTCCATGACCGCCAGGGCCTGGCTTTCTCTGCTGGACACATGGTGTGGGGCATACATATAGCTTTGTTCTGGGGTGGTGCCTAAAGGGGTATCACTGATGCCCAAGCAGCCCATTGGAATTCATTTCGCACCACAGGTAAGTTGCCCAGGGGAGGGGAAAATGACCTCAAGGTAAACATCCCTTGGTCCCGCCTCTCACTGCTGTAGTGTCCTATCTAGGGCAAAATCCTTTCAAGTACCATATACCAAATCATTTCCTTCTCACTCTGAGTATTCTTTTTACTGCCTTTTGTCATATTATCTTTTAAGGACTGGGTTTCCTAGGGTTTTATCCTCAAGGCTCTTCCTTCTCCTGTTGGGGACATCTCACAGGTGATATAAGTGCCTTCACTTCCCTCCAGAGTCAGTGTAAACTTTCCTTATCACCCATTGAGCTCTTTCCCACCTGCCTGGAAGGAACTGTAAATTCTTTGGCAATATAATTATATTTGATGTAATTCTTTGGCAAATTCTTTGGATTCTAAAATCCTCAGAAAACTATCAATCATTTGAAGATGATGTGCAACATAAAAATTTGCAGTATCCCCTGTACTTCTGTCTCTGCATTATTTCATCCTCTGTGATTTCTGTAAAGATTTACAAGGTCTATCTTCAGATTGACATTTGCCCTGAATTCTGAATACATCTTTCCAAAAACCTAAAGTCTTGCTCCACATAATGTCTCAAACTCAGTGTATCTTAAATTATGCTTACCATACTTTCTGGGAAACTTGTTCTCAGGTTTACAGGGATTTCAGGTGATCTCCACATTCTGTTCTCTCTATATCCATCCTGATACACAGTTGATCACTAAATTGTAATGAACCCCACTTCATTAATGTCTCCTAAATATATGATTTATTTTCTCCTTCCCTTTCTCAATTTTAGGCCTTTATGGGTTACCTACACGGATTGTTGCAGTAGCTTCTTTTTTATTCTCCTTGAATGAGTTACTCCACTTTCTAAAGTCTACCTTGTCATTAATTATCTTTCTTAAAGCATTGGTCTGACCATGTTAATGGCTTCTTTCAGTAGTTTCAATGAATCTTTTTCTTTTAAAACTTTTTATAATTAATATATTCTTTGTACAAATTAACGATGTACACTGTGACATTTCCATACTTGCAAATATTGAGTGCTGATCATGTCCATCCATTCTTCTTCTACTGTACCCTTTAAAATCCTTAAATTGCCGTAGGAAAAATACCACATTCCTTCTTAACTGCTAATTTTTAACATAGTATCCGGAGCTCTTCACATTCTGGCTCCAGATTACTTTTCCAAACACAATTCTCATCACTTCCCCAACTCCTGACTCTGCCACAGGCACACTGTACAAGCTATTTCCTAAATAAATGCTGGCCTTTCTGCATGCCTTTCTTCATGTTGTAAAACCTGCTCCAAACTCTTTCTCCCATTTACTGCTACAGAAATTCTCCTTCAAAGCATAATACTTCCCTTCTTCCATTTACTTCTCTTGCCTCTACCTTAACCTACACTAATGATTCATGACTGTGTTTAGAGAGTGTTAATTGAGTGTATTACCCAAGCTAGAAACTCCTGGAGAACTGGATTATTTTTGGACACCATATGAAGAGCAAAGAACCTAGCAAATAATAAAAGACCTATAAATGTTCTTAGCAGATGTTGAAAAGCAGCATGCCCTATGTTCTAAGTCATTTCTCTCTAAAGAGTAGCTGGTTTGTAAAACAGGGTTTCTTGGTTTGGATTTGAATCTTATCACATAATCTGTAATTGGAAATTGTTGAGTTTCCAATTTTTTTCAATGTCTCCAGTGAAATTTTCTTGGATTCTGAAGTAAGGTTGTTAATCCAGACTTTCTAAGGCAAAATTGTCCCTTCATTTTCTTATTTTAAAAAAAGGGAAACAAAACCACCAAATCTTTATTGACATAGATCAGAGAAAACTCCCTTTTCTCTTGTGTAATCCAGTGTTTTATTGAATAATTTACTGAATAGGAGTATTATGTCTTGTATCTGGATGTTCCCCTAAAGCCTCATGCAGTCATAATTGGGGCTTTTTAGAGATGGCTGGATCTAGAGTGTCTGATGCTGGGACTGATTCATGGTACAATTCTAGGATCAAGGATACCAGGATTAAGGATGTGAATGTGTCTGTGCTAAGTAACCTGGATAAGATGTAAGAAATAGAAAGAGCTGTAGTCACCCTTGTTTTGCTACCTCTGTCTCCCATGAGCCACTCTCCTCTGTGATGCCCCTCTGCCATGCTCCTTTCCTTAGAGCCCTGATTATAGACTAAAACCTCTACAAACTGTGAGCTAAATAAGCCTTTCTTTAATGTTGGGTGTCAGATACTTTGTCTCAGCAACAAAAAAGTAATTAGGATAAGGAGGGAGGAAAAGAGCCTTTCTGGGGGTTCCAGAGGCATTCTGCCCAAGAAATTCTGATTAATTTGAATAATAGAGTTGAAATCTTCCATCATATTTCATAAAAGCCATTCCTAATAAAAAAGACCTCTCTGTAGCAAGCCATTTTTACTTCTGGATAGAAATCCCTGTGTATACCACCTCAAAAAAATGTTTTGTGGCATTGTCAATCTGAAATCTATTTTTAAGAAGGAAACATACTTATGGCCATGGTAAGGCATAGTAATGTGATGTAATCAAAATTTCTTTGGTCTATAAATGATACAACTCAACAATAAAATACAAAAATATTGAACTGTATGGTGCACACTAGATTAAAGGTAGGGTGCTGGTGACAAGTCCATGCTAAACCAATTGGACAGTGTTTTCCTGGGTTATAAAACTTTATGTACTAAGACAAACAGGATAAATGAATTGCAAGGTAGTTATGAGAGAATTAGTATCTCTAGACAAGATATTGCAGTTTTCACTGTAATTTCTTTATGAACTGTGGAGATCGGTTTATGCTATCTAAACTTTAAGCAGAATCATTAAGAAATGGACCAAGATGCAGTAAGATAGAGAAAATGCCACCAAGCTAAAAATAACAGTAAATGAATCTTTCCTACAAAGGAAAAAATGCCAGATTACAAATGAGCACTCTCTTCAGTTAGCAGGCTCAATCAGTGTGCCAGCCTGGATAAAGAAAACAATGGCACCTTCTGACACCAGGCTGTGTGTCTGCTGAGCATCCCTCAGTGCAAATGTTAGTACTGTGTGAGTATTTATTGTGTTTCTATAAAGTCCTAATGAGCTTCTTGGGTGAGAGTGAAACCCTTTGCTTTTTCACACTGTGCTCAAGACCCCTAAACTTCATGGGGTCAAATCTAAAGAAAGGGTAATGGACCATGAGGTCCAGCTTAATAGACCTGATATTAACACAGCAGCAAGAATGTCACCAAATGCAAAGTTTAGGGCAAGCAATGAATGAAGTATTTGTTACACTTAAATAATATAGAAAGGTTATAACAGAGTAGTGGCACTATATCAATGTCATCATTGCAGGACTTTGAAAATCTCCCATGTATGAAATAACCCTGTAACACATCTTTTGGTCACAATAGACAAATTTGCTTTCTAGCAGCAAATAATAAATTACAAAGTTATGCAACTGCTGTGACTATCTATAGTTATGTTTAGATATTGAAAATCTCTAGCCCATATAATCTGGATGCTATCAGTTTCTAATATTCATAATGAAGATACATTGTACGCTTCATACTGGTTATAGGCTTTGTATATTTAAATGCATATTTTCTCTCAGTGAGGCAGAGGGATTTTTTTAATAGTGGCTTGACTTCTGAAATAGGACAGATGTGTCTTGCTTTGATCCTGAGTCTGAGATCAGGAGACAGAACCACTTGTATAAATACAGGACTCTTTCACTAGATTCCGTCAGCCATGCAGTTGGCTCATAACAATAGCCTTGGTCTCCTATACAATAAACTTCAGGTCAGATGTTTCAGTGTCAGCCAGAAACCTGGGCTCGGAAGCCACTATACTTGGAGATTTTGCTAGAAAATTAGCAATAAGAAAAAAAAAAGCAATGAGGACAATTATCACTCACAGGAGTAAAACTGGGATGATCTAAGGGTATGAGTGTGTTGCTTTACTTTTCATCTTTTTATTTTCTTTTCAGCTTAGTAAATAGTTTTCTTTGGAATTAACTAAAATAATTATAAATTATTTAACAGCAAGGACTGTGTTTCCACTTCTGCTATTTTATGTACCCCCCAACACTGAAGGCTTAACTACAGCATTCTCTATATATTCCACACATGGCAGATATAGATACAAATATGTGATAAATGTGTTGCTCATTACTTAATGCCCCCTTTTCCATGATTTGATAGTTAAAAGGTAGAAAATTGGCATCTGTTTGTGCAATATGTTGTCAGATTACTAAACTAACAAATGTTACAAACTTTCAGCAGATTTTTTAACTGGTAACTTTCTATTT